TCAAACAAGGTTTCAGTAAGGGTTTGGTGCCGATTTTTGGCACCTCTCAGCAAATACGTAAAGTTATTAGATGTCTCTTAATTAACTGAAACTATTTTGTACTCTTTCTCAATGATACCTTCTTAAAAATCATCTTTCTCAACCCCTTCCCCTCACAATTTTGATATCAAGGTTGTGCAAACAGAAAACCTGCCCGGGTGCGCCTTCCGTTTCCTTTGGTTGCTCATTTATATTGTTGAGCGTTTTTTTCTTCCCTAGACCCTATTTTGTGCCCCAGAAACCTGTTGCCCTATCGGTAATTGGCTGCAATTTTGGTCGGTCGAGGTGTTTTGGGAGATCCAGGGCTGAATCTCTTTGCGCATGGATTTGCGGATGTGGATCGGCCAAGTTTTACTTTTAGCTTTTCGACCGTTAGATTTTGGTCATTTAGAGATCGTTATATAAAAAAATTAATTAGATATAAAATTGTAATCTAACAGGTTTAATCCTAAATCTAAGCCCAATCCAAAACACGAACCAACAAAATGCTATACCGGAGCTAATAAAGGTAAGCTAAGCGGGACATAACTCCTTCTCTCATGATTTATCTCTCTCTCTCTCGCTCTCTCTTCCTAACTCTCTCTTTCTCTCTCTCTCTCTCTCTCTCTCTCTCTCTCTCCCCCTCTTTCTCGTTATCTCGTTATTTCTGACTCTTTCCCTCTAAAGCAGACCGAAGCCTAAAACGAAGCTAAACTGAAGCCTCTTGGTATCCAGAGGGTCGTGTGTAAGACGGGCGAAGTCCAAACCTAGAAAACCTAATCCTAAGCCCAGGCCCTCGCCTACGACCATACCACGTTGAAAGCACGGCATCCCGTCCGATCTGCCAAGTTAAGCAACGTTGGGCTCGGTTAGTACTTGGATCGGAGACGGCTTGGGAATCCCGAGTGTCGTAGGCTTTTTGTTGCTTTTTTCAGCTGTGGATTCTAATTTTTTTAACTCGCCTTCTTCTATATCGCTAGTTTGATCTACGAACCCATAAACCCGAACCCCCTTCGCCCGTACATTTCGATTTCTGAGGTCCATTTCTGCGGGTGGGAAAGAGGCTCGACATCCACCCCACCACTCCTCACACCGCCCGCCGGGCCGTTTTTTGAAGAACATTTGAAGCGTGTGGATTGGAGCGGGGTGTAGGGGGGTGGACAGGTTCCACCAGCCCCAAATGCACAACGGTCACTTTCCTTAACCAAATATTGGGGCTTGCCCTCGAGCCGATTCGGGGGAGCTGGCCCGGCGCGGCGCGTAGGGATTATTTTCCGGAATGGTCTTCTGAATTTGCACGTAAAAACAAGGGTCGGAAGTTTAAAGGTCCGGTTAGATTGTGTCTTGGGTTTTTTTGCTGGTTCTCTCTTGTTCTGTATCTCTCCGTCTCTCTCTCTGCTATCTCTATTTTTCTCTCTCTCGCTCTCGCTTTACCGTACAACCGTATCCACGGTAAAACGTGCCATTTTGACCATGTGTATTGGAACGGGTCTCGGCTGTGTAGCATATCCTCCCAAGCGTGCTTGGTCTATCTGCCCGCGGAGATCTTAAATATTTTCATCCTAGCTCTGTCTCTATCTCTCTCCCTCCCTCTCTCCCTCACTCTCTCTCGCTCTCTCCCTCCATCCCGTTAATTTTCTTTTTATTTCGGTTCCGGGGGGATTCGGACACCACGGTCTCGCCTCTCCGATCCATCCTAGCGCTGCCAAAAATGCAAAAAGGGGATCTGCAGGTTCAGGCTGAAGCCTCAGGCGATAGCAAAAAGTCGACTTGAAAAGGATACCATAAGCCGAACTCCTAAACTAAGCCAACGTGGAGCATCAGCAAAGCCCAAGCCAAGCCTAAGCAAAGCGTACTTCATACTTTCACTCCATACCATACCTCGCTGTAGAATTATTTTCCGAAGAAAGAAATCCTGATTTGGATTTCAAGGATGAGTGCCATAACGCTTTTTTTAACTGATTTTACATTTTTTCAAACGTCGGATGCCTCTGTATTCCATTTTTTGTCCTTTTGTTTCCATGACGCTCCATCGTACACCTGCCAATTTATTCTATTGCGCTTGCTCTGGTATTCCATTTTTTTGCGTGTTTCCAGTCAAACCAAATTAACTTTATTTTTAGAAGCATTGCAGTAGCTGCTCACCCACCTGGGGGTCCCGCCACGATGGACTGGATGTGGTCGTGGAAGGATACGGTATTCTATGCGATATGCACTTCTGGGCATACCATGGCTGATGTCGATCCGTTACCCAACTATTTACGGTGGGTCGAATTTTGCTCGCACCCTTACTCCTCTCTCTCTTTGCGTCAGCGAGTCCCTTTAAAACGCGGAATTTTCCATTTTTTGGGACGCCAAAATCCTTAGATAATTGGCTTCCGCCAGCCGCACGCACGCTCTCTCTCTCTCTCTCTCTCTCTCTCTCTCTCTCCCTGGCTTCTTTCACTCGTTTTTGAATGTTTTTAAACTATTACTAGGTTTATTGGTTCCCCAACTTTCCTCTATCCAATTCATTTATTTCCATTTCCAATACGATTTCGTTTTAGAAGCGAGTCTCCGCTGCAGCTGAAAAGCTACAAGTAAGCCGGGCGATTTTTGCGTGAATCCTCTTGGGTTTTTCCTTGGTTTTGGCACCCCACCAAGCGCACGTTTTAGGAACAGCCTTAGACACTGATAACTCGTCAACCCTGCATGAAAGTTTAACAAGCTTAATTGGTGTTTGAAATTTATCCGACTTGGGATTTAAAAATTTAGGGTTCCTTCACGAATTATCTAGTTTTTTTTTGTTCCACGTGTAGATCTTGCAAATCTCTCTATCACTCTCTCGCTCTCTCTCTCTCTCTCTCTCTCTCTCTCTCTCGCTCGCTCTCTATCTTCTCTACCCCAATTCCGTTCCCCGTTCCATCCCAGCCCATCCCTGATTCATAGAATTCATTCATTCCTCTTTCTTGTCTTCCTCTTTTGACCCTAAAAACAGGGAGTGCCCCCTCCCCCTTCCAAACAAATTCATTGCCCCTCCCTTCTGACTCCTGGGAGGTCGTCAGTCCATTGTAATTTCGTGGAGGCAGCCCGGTGGCCTAGCTGATAAGCTGCCGGCTTTAAAAGGCAAACTCGCCGGTGCTGCTGCCCTAAAAAACGAGCATAGCGGAATGAAGAGTCCGCATTTTTTGGCAGTCTGTCAGTTAGGTAGCTCTACATGGTGCTAAACGGGCTTGAGAACACGAAGTGAAGCTCAAGTTGAGGCTCGATTCGTAGAAGCTGAAGCTCAGGAGAAAGCCTAGGAAAAGACTATGAAGTAGATGCGGCATTGAAGTGCTAAATTGAAGCCAAAGCTCTCCGTAACTGGTACTGAAGCTGAAAGTGAAGCTCCAGGTGAACTTGACTTCAAGTGAAGCAAGGGAGGAAGATGAAGCTGGCCGGATTAATCACAGGATACTGAAGATGGTGCTCAAATTTAAGCTATAGCCGGATCTCTGGAAAAGCTCGTGCTCAAGCCTCAGCCTAGACCAAAAATTGAACTGCCAAACAGTAAAGTTTCCTAAGCCAATCAACCCAAGCTGGATTTAAAGATATTTAAGTAAGCCGAATCGGAAACCAAAAATTGCCTGAAAAGATAAGCTACTGTCCATTCAGCGCCTCTAACTTAGGCAATACTCAATCAAACCCAGACACAAACTTAAGTCAAGCTCGAGCGCCAGCTCAAGCCCATTCTAAGCCCCAAAATACCTCGATCCCCTTCACCCCAAAATCGTTCCAATTCACCCTCCTGACCTCCCAGAACCCCCGAAAAGGTGTCACTTTTCATAAAAAACCGATCGACGGCAAGCCGTTCCTGTTCCACAATATCTCGGTCACTTTCTAGCGGATTAGCCCTATTTTCTGTGTTGACCTGTGCCCCTCGGAAATCCTTTCCAAGCCAGGCAATCCTGGCAAAAAACGAGAGTGGTGGACCGAAATTTCGATTTTCGCCTGATTGCTGGGGGGGGGGGAGGGACAAACACCGGTTAGGCGGGTGGATTTGAAACAGAGCCCACCGAAAAAGGGAAAAGCGGGTGGGTAGAGGGAGCTCGAGAATCTGGGTTATCAGTTCGCGGAGTTCTAGCCGGGGCTCCCTAAAAAAGACGCCTGGATTGCTCAGGAAGCTAACGAACGGAGCGTTCTGGAAGGAAGAGAGAGAGAGTGATCTAGCGAAAGCGAGAGATAGAGAGAGAGAGTGCGCGAGAGATAGTGAGAAGTAACACTAGAGAGGCGGGCGAGAGAATGAGAGCGAGCGAGTTAAGGAGAGAGCGAGGACAGATAGCGAGAGAGAGAGAGTCAGCGAGCGAGCGAGAGAGAGGAACCGAGAGAAAGACAGATAGATCTTCCGAGATTTTTCTACGTATTATGATTCAAAAAATTGTGGGAAAGTTATAAAAAAAATTGAAATACCGACGTATTTAATCAAATTAGGGATTTTTGATAATTCTGGTGCCATTTAAATACGAAAAATAGCCAATAATGGTCATTAACGATTTCGGAAACTGACAAACCAAAAAAAACCTAAAATTTAAAAGCTTTTTGATGTTTTCCAAGTTTTTCTGCTTTTCCAGGAGCATCAGGTGCCCCTGGGCTTAAGGCTTAGGGCATAAAGAACGCCTCCAGCTAGGGGAAAACCTAATCCCCTCCTCTCTCAAAAAGTAGGGCGCCCAGGATTTAGCCCAAAAGGAGCCCAAAAAAGCAATGAAAGCACAAGCGAAACCCCAAAAATCGTCACCCCAAAAAGCGAAAGTGCTAAAAGCGAAAAGTCGGGGTTTTTTTTGGTGGTATGGGGGTCGAGATCAGCCCCGGAAAGTGGGCGGGGCTTGGGGGCGGGCCCAAAAAATCCAGGGCGTCCGGAGGGGTGCCCGGAAAGTTTTGCCGCTCCTCTTCTTCTTCGCGTCTTCTAAAATCTTTAATATATTCTGGAATTCAAGAATAATATTTTCAACCGCTAGCTCTCTAAAATGAGCACGAGAATTTGGATAAACGACCCGCAACAACCTGCGGATCCGATTTATGCTTCGATATTCCGGGGCAAGCCTCCACCTACGAGGAGAGGAGTTGTGTACGAACCTGTACAACGTACACGCCCTATCCTGAGAGACCCGAGCGCTAATAGAGGATCGTTGTCACCCGCTGAATCCTCGGCCCAATATGCCCCACCGAAGAAACGGGTCTCGATCGCCGGATTTGGAAGTAGTGGTGGGTATTTTTAAGGTATCTTGTAGTATATTTTGAATTTTTGAACTTATATGGACTTAGCACTATTATCCGTGCGACTCTGAAAACGCCATTTCGTTTTTTTTGAAAATTTTGGAAGATACGGTGTATATTCATGTTGTCGGTTGATTTTAGAAAATTGCGTAAAAATCGCTACAAATTTTAACATTTTTCTCAATTGTTGCAGAAACCATAGCTTAACCTAAGCCTAAGCTGATCCTAAGCTAAGCTAAGCCTAAGCTAAGCCCAAGCTAAGCCTAAGCTAAGCCTAAGCTAAGCCTAAGCTAAGGCTAAGCTAAGCGAGGCTAAGCCTAAGCTAAGCCCAAGCCCAAGCCCAACTTGTTCGAGTACTTTTAAAAATCAATGAAACTTTGTGGATACCACAGCTTTTTTACGCTCAAATCCAGGCGACTACGCGACGCTCCAACTCCCTGCTGATGGCGACTACGGGGTCATCGGCCAGTTCAGCACCAGCGAATTTCGACCGGGTCCTACCACGCCTACCGTAACCCGCTCTAAAGGCATCAGAAACTGCCAGAGCGTTTCTGACCTCTCCGAAAAGGTGGAAAAACTCTCCATCCCCAGGCCCAGCATTCGGCCCCTCGATCAAGAGGAGCTGTATGCAGCCTATAAAGCGAAAGAAGAGGAATTTTATGCGGAGTACACCAAGAACCCATCCAAAGTAGAAGATTTGCTACAAACGACAAATTCTACGGCAGCGAAAAAGCCATCGCTGGCGAAGAAACTACAGCATAAAGTGTCCCTCAAGGGCTTCAGGGAGGCTTTTGTTAGGAGAAGCCGAAGCATGGCCGTCAGGGGAAGTGAGAAAAGAGAGCCAAGCCCCGAAGCGAAGCCAATGAAGCCTGAGCAGCAACTTCAGCCTCGCGCTGAAGAGAAATTGGAGCGAAAATATGTCCCAAGACGGAGCGCTCGAGAATTTCTGCAGCAGAATTTGGCCAGTGCAAAGAGGATTGTTAGGTTGGTTGGGGGTACTGTCTGGACTGAATTTTTTGCGTTCTCCTTGCTCTCTCTCTCTCTTTCTCTCCCCCTCTCTCTCTCGCACGCTCCTTCTCTTGCTCTCTCTCTCGCTCTCCCTCCCTTTCTCTCTCTCACTCTCTCTCCCTCTCTCTCGCACTCTCTCTCACGCTCTCTCTCTCTCCCTCTCTCTGTTTCTGCCTCCCTCTCTCTCGCTTTCTCGTCTCTCTCTCTCTCTCTCTCTCTCTCTCTCGCTCTCGTTATCTCTCTCTAGCTCCCTCTCTCCCACCTGAAATTTAAGATTTTTTGTAAATCAGGTTTTTTCCAAGCCTTTCCCAGATTTCGTAACGCTCCAAATTACTCACAACTCGCCCAGCTGATCCTGGTTATCCCGTACGATTTTTCTTGAGCGTGTTTTCCCCAGTCTCGCGAACCGCCAATTATCCCTCAAAACAGATGCCCTAGAAACGGACTAGTAGAAAGATAGCGATTGAGGGAGGTGTCAATAGGCATCGACGTGTAGTTTTCGCTTTTCGAGGTCACTTTTGCGGGGCGGATGGATGGCTAGCTAGCTGGCTGCTGACTGACGAACTGACTATCCAGGCCGATTGTCCCGGTTGGCCAGCTGAGCGGAAAGGGCGAGAGAGATCGAGGTAGAGAGAGAGAGAGAGAGAAAGAGATAGAAAGAGAGAGAGTGACAGAAAGAACGTGCAGACAGATATTTTCGATCTCACAATCTGTCGGCGTTCCATTTTTCTGAGAAAAAGAGGTGTACTATGAAAAAATCCCTGAAAACTGGAAAAATTCTCACGCTTACATCCTTATTTTATACTTTAATGGGGCGGAAATTAACTTTTAAGCCAACCCAAGGTATAATTAAGCGATCTCCCAAACAGCTGTTGCCAATTTCACAGTTTCCGCCCGCCGTTTGTCTACCTACTTTTCGCCAACTCTTCGTCATCCCCACCCAAAAACCCCCACGCCCCTATCCGCCCTCCTCTCCCCAATTTTTACGTCGTATTATTTACCTGATGAGTCAGGAGAGAGAGAGGGAGAGAGCGAGAGAGAGATGAGAGAGAGACGTAACGAGTGCCCATCGAGTTTTAAGAAATTCCACTGGCTGTAAAATTGTTGACACATCCAACTCGATGGGTCTTTTCGAGCTAGGGACCAGGGGAATTCGGCGGAAAACCCCTTAAAAAAAGCTGTATTTCCATATGTATGCTATTAATTAGGATTTAATAATTAATTTTTTGTATCGGGTCGAAAGCGAGATTTTAAAGGAATTTTTAAGGCAGAATCGAGAAAAACAGCATGGATTTTGCATTTTTGTTTAAAGGGACTGACAAGGCCTGGCTGCCTGTATGTATTTGTGGATTATGGATTTTTCTATAGGTTTGGCCACGCCGCCACACGCAACTTTCCTTAAATAGCGTAATGGATCACGACTTCTTCAAGGCGTTCAGTTCCTCAGCTAATAAATCTTAGAACATACGGTATTTTGACTAGACTGTCAATAAATTCCAAAGGGAATAAACTAGTTCTTTTTGAACGCCTCGGGTCTAAAATTAGCTTCTCCCTCCAACACGTAATATTTCCAACGAAGATATATACAATCCGAGGCCCATTTTTGAGCATTTGGGCCCATTTTGGCCGGGGGTGACCCTCCAGGGAAATGGAGAATTTTGACGGCCCTAGGGGAAGATGGGTCACTTTGTCGCCCCGCTCCTATTCTTCTGAAAAACGGCGGGGACATCCGAGATTCGTAGGAAGATGCCGAAAGGGGACGCAAAATAGGGATTTGGATAAAAAATGGCCGCGGGGAATTGATGGGATTTTTGAGCATCAGCTGGTGAGCACGAGAATCGTACTGTTTTGGTGGGCAAGTCTCGGCCTTAGAAAACTTTTAAAGAATTTTTTTTGCCAACATCGTTGATTTTTTTTTGTAGTATTAACGGTAGTATTCTACATACCAAGGCGAACATTTTGCTATACTTTAAAAATATTAAGCGAACGCATTTTTACGAAAATAAAAGTCGCAATTTTTCTTTTGAAATTTGTAGTTTGTAGGCGATATTTAGATTGCTACGGCCATATTTTGAAGCGTAGGAGTATCGAAAAAGCTCAAGGACCGTTAAATTTTATTGAAGTAATTTTTGAATAATTTTAATTTGAGTAATTAAGCCGCTCTGGAACTTATTAAATATCCCCTGCCCCATATTTTATAACTTCCTTATCCCTCTAGTATCTCTCTTCATTTACCCCCTCAAGTTTCCGGTCAGTAATTTGTACTGAGGTAGAGCCCTCTTCTCTTTCTGGTTAGTGGTTGTTGTGCGGTGGAGCCCCTCCTTCACATCCAGGTCATCCGATACCCCCATCCTCCTTTCTCTGGGCCCCGGGTTGAATGGCCCGCAGCTCGAGTCGACTTCTTATGCAAATCGACTCTATACCAATTCCAAGTGGTAGCACAATGGTTTTGGTGGCTATAGTATGCAGCGTACTTCCGGTATATTAAGCCAGCCTAACCTAGGCCCGCCCTAAGTCCAGGCCTAAGCCAAAACCTACTCATCATTAGCGCTAGTACACTGATGCAGGGATGGCAAAATCGGCCGGCCGGGCCGATCGGCCGAGCCGAAAGCCGACTAATTCGGCCACTTCCGGGCCGATTTCTCTATGCTAATTTTTTCGGCCGAGCCGATCGGCCCGGCCGAATTTTTGGGAAATCGGCCGAGCCGATTCGGCTTGGCCGACATTATGTAAATTGCATGTAAATTGATGTAAATGAGAAAAACCATAATGGATGGGGGCTAGACATGTATTGTCGCGTGCGAGGCACCAGAATAAAATGCCGACAACTGAGACGCGAGCCCGGGCAAAAATATCGATTCCAAAATCACGAATTGATAATTCACGATTCGCCGCTTCGAAATTCGGAATGCCGATCAGGTCCAGTAGGCATTCTATTTTCTTAAAGAGATAGGGGCGGCATAAGTCAATCGATTACGCGAGGGAAAGAAAATGTCTCTGCGCCTCTCCCCTGGGCGCCCTCTCTCGCCGCGGGACCTGTTGAACCCCCCTCCACAAGGGGGGTTCAACAGATGCCGTCCTCATCTCTTTAAGCAAAACGATAAAAAATAAATTGGAAAAATAAATTCGAAATTTTTTTTGAGAAATTGCTTAGTAACTAACATGTCGGCTTTCGGCTCGGCCGATCGGCCGGGCCGACTGAAGGCCGAAAATCGGCCCTGGAACGGCCGATTCCGGAAGTGATCGGCCGAGCCGAATTCTAATAGGCCGATATTCAAATCCAGGCCGAAAAAGCCGGTCGGCCCGGCCGATTGCCATGCCTGCACTGATGTACGGTCGCGTATGTAGGCATTGAAGCGTCCTTTAGCGTGAAACCACTTTCTATGAATTCCTATGAATTTTTTACGTTTCACTCTAGATATGAACCCACTACTCGAATGCCATAGACACCGCCCGGTCGGCCAGGTGGAACGTTTCGGCCGGTGGGGTGGTACACTTGGCAAGCTGGGTACTTGTGATCAGTGCTCTTCTCTGAACCCAGACTTTTACTTTCCAAGGAAATTGTTGGAGACTGCTCGAATTTTAAGTACTTTTGTGTTAAAAACATTTTCAACCTATTGTTATCTCTCTCTCTCACTCTCTCTCTTTTTCTCTCTGTGTCACGCTTACTTTCGTTCTCGTTTCACCCTATCTGTCCCTTTCGTGTCACGCTCTATCAATGGCGCCAAAAAGCATAAGTCCGAGTATAAGCATATACGCTCAAGTCCGAGTATGAGTCTGAGCATGAACTCAAGCCTGAGCCGGAGCATGAACCCTTAAACCACCCGAGATTTTGGATTCCACCTCCCGCTAAATCCCGAAATCCCGATTCCCGACCACTCTTGGCGCCCTGCCAAACCTGAACCTCTCAAATCCACGATTTTCCCGACCCTAAACCATCCGACACTCCCTCAAAATTCCGCCGCAAATCTCTCAAAAATTTTCGGAGAAATGTCACGCCTTTAACAGGACCACTCACACACTCACGCCCCCATCGCTAGCAGATCTGCCTATCAAATGGGATATGGTGGGTGTGGGAGAGAGAGACAGAGAGGGAGAAAGATGGAGAGAGATATGGAGAGAGAGCAAGACAGAGAGAGACCACACAAAATTGTGTTAATCCCCCCCCCCCCCCATTCCATCCATTGAGGGGGCTGGGCAGTCATTTGGAAGAAATTTGGAGGTGTTGAGGGCAAGGCGCTATTTCTTGCGCCCCCTACTATGGGGGAGCTATAGTTCCCGTACTGTTTTTCTAAGCCGGCCAAGGCCTTGAAAATGCTTAAAAAAGGTTGTAAATGGGGTCAGAGACTTCATAGAATGGTGTTAAAATGGAGTGAAGTTTTGGATATTCGATGGGGGGGGGGAGTTTCGTTAAAAATATTCTAGCGGACCAAGCTAAGCCTATGCTCAATTTACCCCTACGCTAAGCCTAAGCTAAAAATAAACTCAGCTAAGCTAAGCTAAGTCCAAGCTAAGTTTAAGCTAAGCCTGAACCTTAGCTCAATCCTAAACTAAAGCCTAGGTTCAAGCCCAAGCTCAAGCTTAAGCTAAATATGAGCTATGGTTAAGCCTAGGCAGCCCAAACCCAAGCCAGACCGAGGCCAAGCCTAAGATAAACCTAAGCCGAAAGCTAAGCCTAAGCCGAGACCTAAGCCGAAGCCTAAGCCTAAAACTAAGCCCAAGCCTAAGCCTAAGCACTCCATACAGTTCCTCAGTGGTCTCGCCCACCCGTTCCCAACTTCTTACCTCCATCCCCCAACCTCTCTATTCCACCAGGATACCCTAAACGCCCCTGCGGGAGAGTCAGGGTAGTTCACCCTGACAGTTGAAAGGCTTCAAAGAGACCCTCCATTCCCAATACCATTTAAGCCCAAGCCGAAAGTGACCTTCTTTCCCTTCCCGGTTCCATTCTTTGCATTTCGCTTTCGAGATTCCGTTCCTTTCCTTTCTATTCCATTCCGTTCCGTTCCGATCCTCCTTCCATGGAGGTCGATCCAAATACTCCCAATTAGCATACACACCTCTTCGTCGTCGTGTGGCTCTGTCTGTGTGTGTCGACATTTTCAAGGGCACGCGGCCATTCAATTCGGAGCCCCCCTTCGGCCTCAACGAGGTCTCCTTATAGGAAATGTTCCTCCTAGGATTAGGAGACTGTCGATAGGAAAGTCGTTTCTTTTTTGTAATATTCCCCTAATTTCTCTTCGTATACCAACTTGTTTTAAGCTGTTTAGAATCCACATCTATACCTTAAATAGGTTACTTTATACCTAAGAAATTCTTAAATAGATTTTTAAATAAGAATTTTTATTTTAGGGATCTGAAATGTCTTTCCGAGTTTATTATACGTAGCGGTCGAGACCTAGGAAACGTAAGGGTCTATGCCGCTTTTCCTGTCCCCTTAAAGATCAAGTAAAATGTCAGAATCGACCCCTCTCTGTACTGGGTCTCGACAACTACATTACATTCGAAACGACTTGAGTATCTTGATCTTATCAGCCTCTAAAGGCGCTCGAAAAAGTAATTTTCAATACCGTGTAGCTGTCGAAACCTAGTCGACATAAGAAGTCGATTCTCCGCTTCCTAGCCCCTTTAAATATACCTCAAAACAAATGGCATAATTTTGCGCAGCCACCTCGTCACCCTGCGTAAACAAGACAAGCCAATTTGCTCTGCCATGCCCATGCGTGGGAATCGGGTCGGGCAAGCAGCCAGCGAGGGGCAGCCAGGGGCTATAGGGAAGGAGGCAGAATTTCATTATCCCTTGATTGCATCCTCTGTCCCTCCGCGATGCCTATTCTTGGTCTCTCTCTCTCTCTCTCTCTCTCTCTCTCTCTCTCTCTCTATTTCTCTCCTTTCCTACATACGCCAATTGTTATGCCCACTGCTATTGTCGTAGTCAGACCTCCGTTTAATCTTGATTTTTCTATATTTACCGTAAGAATTCGGGTAGATCTTATGACTTTTTTAAGGTTAGGATGAGGTGGCTAATCCTAATCCGGCAACTTTTTTTCTGGATGAAAATTGCTTCCTGGCTCTGCCATTTGTGACGTGAAAACGCCAAAATCCCGACAGCAAAAATCCCGACAGGTGAGAATCCCGACACGCAAAAGAGCTGCTTAAAAGGAAGTGGCATTCAGAGGAGCTTCAAGAATTTGTCGAGATTTTAGTCCGTCGGGATTTTGAGCTGTCGGGTTTTGGTTGTCGGATTTTTCGCCTGCCAAAATATGTATGGCTTTCAAGCGCTCTATAAGAACTTAGGTTATTCCGCTATTTACACGAAAAAAAATCTCCATTGATCGGCACAAATCCACGGTCGTGTCTTGTCAGGCCCTTTAAGGCGAAAACCCATAGGTTCAGACTGTTTCTAACGTTAATTTACAACCAATTTTTCGTCTTTTGGAACTTGCAATGTTTTTCAAGACTCGAGATCACGGTCTCCTAGCTCCTATCCCCCAACCTTGGCCGCCAAAATGCATAATTCGCCATGTCGACGCGGCGGCGCCACATTAGACCCCCCAAACGACATGGCCGGCCTGCAGAGCGGGGACTCTTTAGGGGGATTTTGAAAGAAGTCGCCTTGTATTACAACATTCCGCTCTCTCTCTCTCTCTCTCTCTCTCTCTCTCTCTCCCTTGGCCCCGGGGCATAACCCTGATTAATGGCCATCCTGGCCCAGCTGAGGGTGCTAAGTGAAACGGCCCTCGGTGTGGCTAGAATGGGATTGAGTCCCAGATAGTTTCAAAACGGCTTCGGAGGCTCCGGAATTAGATTCAGACCCGGAAATTGGTTTTCTAGAGTAAGGATTCTACGGTTTTTGTGTTTTAAAGGCACTAGTAAGCCTCAATTTTAGCTTTGCACAAAATAGCTACCAGATAAAAGGCAAAGAATCTCAAGATATCGCTATTTCTTGCCTTTCTGATCACTTTAAAATGCGATAGGAGGCTGCATATGAAATCGCCGGTTTGGCAAGATAGGCTGGACGACGAATTTTGCCTTCCTGATCCCTTTAAAATGTCCAAAACTTCCCAGTTACGTTAAAAGCCGACTTGGCGGGTTCCCAAAAAGGTTACTCACGACTTCACAACCCCTTGAATATTTCTGGAATCCTGAAAATTATGCTGATTTGTTTGGCGTCTTTGCCAGTTTCAAATCCGTTTACCAAATGGTCCGTGTGTTCCGGATTTTTGCCTTCACGGCCCCTTTAAAACGTTTCGAACCCCTCAATCGCCATCCCAAATTTCTCCCCTTTGGCTGATCAGCGATCCCGATGTACACAACAGCGTTGCGACAAGACCGCGCCTAGTGGGCCCCCATGTCTCTCTCTCTCTCTCTCCCTCTCTCTCTCTCTCTTCCCCTTAGGGCCCACCAACGCCGCAACTGACGGAAAGCGCGAATTTACAACCACAGCCCCGATTTATTTACTCTCGCCGCTAGCCGGGGGGCCAGGGACCAGATCACGCTCAAATTCCACACCTTAATTTCCGGTTTCTCAGGATTAAGCATCATTTTGTTTGTTGCCCTAACTACCGTATGCTCCTCACCGCTTCCCAGTGCCTTAAAAATCACGACATTCATTTTTTACCCAGCTTAAAGTCTCCAATTCCAGGCGCAACTCGGTGACCAGCGACGTGCTGACAGAAGCCGAAAGGATGCGGGCCCGTGCTTCCGGGCAGGAAAAGGTAGGCGTAAGAGAGAGAGAGAGAGAGAGAGAGAGAGAGAGAGAGAGAGAGAGAGAGAGAGAGAGAGAGAGAGAGAGAGAGAGTGGGAGAGAGTGAGAGTGGGAGAGAGTGAGAGTGAGAGAGAGAGATAGAGAGAGAGAGAGATAGAGAGAGAGTGGGAGAGAGTGAGAGTGAGAGAGAGAGAGAGAGAGAATTTTGTATTTGGAACTTTTGCAATCTCCCGATTTGCGGAATTTAAAGGAAAAACGAACGTAAGATTTGCGAAAACCGGCGAAGTTTAAACCTTGATTTAAATCCAAGAAAAATAATTCAAAAATTAAGAAAATCAAAAAATTCCGCGATTGAGTCGGTGAAATTAATTTAAATACGATTTAAACTATTAAAATCAATATACCGAAGATTTTTCAGGACTTTCTCTCCCTCCTCGAAAAAATGCAGGGCCAACGGCTCAACGAGCAGCGATGTGCCATGCCGGAGGTTCATGTGGGTCCTTAAAACCTATCACCCAGGAAAAAACAAAGAAATATTTTTTCTAAAAGATAAAAAGGAGCCGACTATCCCATCGGGGCGTCCGGAAACTCCCAAAAGACCGGAAAGACCGGAAAATGGCCGCAAAACGAGCATCTGGGCCATTTCACCTTTTTCTCCGGCTTTTCCCTCCCCCATCAGCCGCCCTCAAATCTCGAGCTCAAGCCGAGGGGAGGACAGCTGATTTTTCTGGGCCCTAACCCGGGCCCGTGGGCCCGTCCTTTGGCCCTTCCACCTTTCCTCTCAGCTCAACACCCCCTGGCGTTTCGACAATTTGCCCGCATTTGCCGGATGCTGAGGCTGAAGCCGCTCAAAGCTCAAAAAAATCTCTTCATTGTTTTTTATATGTTACTTTTTACTCGCGATCGATGAAAGAAATCCTTAGGCTATACTTTTTGGTTTGCTTTTCGAGCGTTCCAGATTAAAAAAAAACTACTAATCTTTGATTTAGATTTTTAAAACGTCGCTTGTGAGGGGTCGGCTTAAGCTTAAGCTCAGGCTTAGGCTTAGGCTTAGGTTTCGGCTTAAGGTTAGGCTTACGCTTAGGCTTAAGCTTATCTTAGGAAAGGCATGGGCTTAGTTTTAGGCTTAGGCTTAGGCATAGCTTTTGGCTTAGGTTTAGGCTTTAGCTGAGGCGTATCTTAGCCCAGGGCTCAAGCTCAGGCTTAGATAGAGGCTTAGGCTTTGGCTTACTTGCCTGCCTTTGCCTTGCCGACCCCTTTAACGTGAGATCAGGGCCGAAATCTACTTTGTCTCTCTTGCCTCCATTTTTTTCTATTTGCCAAAACAACCCCGATCTACTGCTGCGACCTAATCCTTGGTCCGGTGTCTAGAATGTGATTTCTTAAAGCCTGGAATTTCCGAAATTTTGACAGCCGCCTCTAGCTGGCTGCAAATCTATTTATCCTCCTTTGCATCTAGGTTCCCACAATCAGCCTGCAGAGATCTTTTGCTTTGCCGCGGCCCCGCGTCCTCATTTCTTTACCTTTCGCCCCGTTTTTTGCACACCCCCAAATCGCGTCCTTGACCATTCAATTTGCATATTCTACCTCCTAAGCGCGGCCCACGATTCACCCAGCCATTGCGGTCTCTCTATCTCTCGCTCTTTCGCTCTCTCTCTCTCTCGCTTTCTCTCTCTCTCCCTCTCTCTGTGTCTCTCTCTCGGCGCTTGTTTGGGTGTACCGGTAACATTTTGCGGTAAGCACGATAGCCTACTTGGCTCCATCCGCTAAAACCTCAAAATTTTCTGGGTTTTTTGACTTCAATGGAGCTTTAATGCGTTCTTATACCTGCAAAACTTGTAAAGAAAACCGGAAACTCGAATTAGATAAAGCTTTTTATCCCCAATACTGTCTATCCCTAGCTCACTAGCGCGCTCTCTCTCTCTCTCTCTCTCTCTCTCTCTCTCTCTCTCTTTCTCTCGCTTACACTTTCTCTCTCGCTCGTATATCTGAAGCCGATAGTCCGAAAGTCCGTTTCCATACTAAGAAGACCCATTTTCCACCCGTAAAAAGTGCCTATCTGATACTCCACCCGGCTCTTCGTCGGCCCTTTTGACTTGAGAAGAATGGGGAGCAAAAATGAATGCACCAATATACGAGCCGGGGCGTGAAGGGTGTACGGCTACTCATCGGTCCCCCTCTTTCGAGTCGAGACTCGAGGACTCACGCCGACCAGCCGACGAGACGAACGAGCCGCTTCTCCACATAAGGGCTCTTTGTGTCTGCCCGTTACACCCTATAAGGTGCGCCTCCTTAGATTGCATAAGTCGGGCTCCTTGTTGTTGTTTCATACATTTTTAAAGGGAGGGTGACAGAGCGCGAATTACATAGCCAAAACTGAGCACTTTTGGCACCACTGAATCCAGCCATAATCCCGACAGCCAAAATCTCGAAAGAATAAAATCCTGGTAGAAAAATCCCGACAGCGCTAATACCGACAAGCCAGAAAAACGGCAAAAATTTCGACAAACCAAGATACCGGCACATTTTGACGCTTTTCAGCTATTTTGCAGGTCGGGATTTCGCTGTCGGTATTATCGTAGTCGGTATTATCGCTGTCGGGATTTTTTGCATAACAACAACTTGACCTCTGAATCTTGGCTGTCGGGATTTTGGCTGTCGACAATTAGGCCTTCGTGATTATGTCTGTCGGCATTTGGTGTCAGGATTTTGGCATGTCGGTATTTCGTCGGCCTGTCGGCATTTTCCCAACACCACTCCTTTAAACCCCGAATATGATGCTTTCAACCCCTAAGAAACACTTACCTTCTGAATGAATCTTTGATGATCAAATTTACCCCTCTCATTTTTTTTTCTGCAAATACGCACTTTTCTGTAGATTTTGGCTGCAGTCCCGCGGCACCGCACTAAAGTTCAAAAGTCGGGTGTGATTACAAGCCGGTCCGTTTGTCGGTGCTGTCCTCTTTCAAGTTCTTCTTCTCCTTCAGCTGATGATGGTGGATTATGTGCACCGGGGCCGCTGCCCCATCTCATCAAATAATCAGTTGACTCGCGTGTGTCCCCCACCCGCCACACTTCCACCTAACCTTTCTCTTTCTCTCTCTCTCTCTCTCTCTCTCTCTCCTTCCCTCTGCCTCTCTTTCGCTCTCTCTCGTCAAGAAACGAGTCTGGTTTCCTAAGACATCGCAACGAACACATTGCATTTGCAACTAGGTGCAAAACGGAACGGAAGAAATTTTAAAAGTCTTCCAGTTTTCATCTGTTGAATTAATTTTCTAATTTCATGCTCACTCTCTCTCGCTCTCCCTCGCTCTCTCCTTTTTGCTATCTAGGGTGTTTCATATACCGCATTATGTCTCACGCTTTCTCTACATTCGTGCTCACTCGCTCACTCTGTGGTGCTCTCTCACTCACACACTCGCTGGCTGGCTCGCTCTCTCTCTCGCCCTCTCTCGCTCTCTCTCGCTCTCTCTCTTAACGTGGCTATCTAATTCTGGCGCTCACTCCTTATGCTCATTAATAGTTTTTCGTCTCTTTGCTTTCTCTCGCTCTCTCGCTCCCTCCTCCTCCTCCTCTCTCTCGCTTTCGCTCTCAGTCTCCTCCGTAAATCCTCGTAATTAGCAGCTTTTCGTTGCCCCCGAAACTTTCGAAACAACCCTCAAGGCAAACCACACGATTTACAAGCCCAAAAACTCGAGACTCACCCCCAAGAAGATAGTCCTTGAGGCACCGAGTAAGTCGGAGCAAGCCGCAAATCTAGAAGGGGGCAATATTCGGCTTTACTCCCCCTCAAGCCCCGTCTCACCACCCACCCCACCACCCGAATGGCCATTATATGCCTTGGGTGAAGACCTAAAAGGTGCTCTCTCTCTCACCCTATCTCTCGCTCTCTCTCACACTCTTTCTCCTCTTGACGACAAACAAACGCGCGGTGGTGTCCGTATTTTTATTTCTTCCGCCTCACCCCCGCTGTGGCTCCAGGCGTTCTGCCGCTTTTTATGGTCCGTATTTTTTAGGGCCTGGAGGAGGCCATTTCTATGCCTTGATATATTTTTAGTAAGCATACTTTTCAATTCTGATAGCGTTTTTTGTAAAATTCGGACCGAGGACTTACGGTAGCTTTTTTAGTCTTTTTGTGGATTTTCTGACTTCACTGGTCCTCTAAAGCCAAAAGCTATTTTGATGCGGCTTCACCGGGCCTTTAAAGCCACCAGAAAACTTCTGATTTTGCTCTTAGTTTTTCTGCCTTATACTGGTCCTTATACTGGTCGGTAAGAATTCTTGACCTCATTATCTTTTTAGAACGATGCTTCCATCCTTTCCAAAGTCCGTCCATAGGTGTACAGTGTACTTTACTTCCCCTTCTCACTCCCGAGCTTTTCCTCCCGGCGCGGGTTCACCAATTAGCCGCCTTTATGTCTTTCCGTCAGTCAGTCAGTCATCTCCCCTCTGTCGGTTATGTTCTTTGTCGGTTTGTCCGTCGGTCACTCATCCTTCTCTGTTCCTTGAAAACGAGAGACAGAGAGAGAGAGGGAAAGAGAGCCAGCGAGAGAGAGTGAGCAAGACCCAGGCCGAGAGCCCATAACTCCCTTCACACGCTATTAGCCCATGTGCCCTGGGGGGTATGTCGTACAGCCTGCTTCTCCCCCCTCTACCCGCAAATGTTTATGGCAGGTCATCGTACTTTGTCTTTTTCGCGGAATGGGTTATGTGAAATGTTGAGGGGAGGGATGCTAATGGGATTTCGGGTATGCTCAAGCCAGAATACCCAAGCTGAGGGCGCACAATGGATAATATCGCCGAAACGAGCCCCATTTCCTAAGGAATCTCTGCTAGCCTGCTCACCGTATGCTACCTTGACTTCCTAGTCCCTTTAAAATTCAAAATCGGCGATTTTTTTTCATTTGGGTCTTTTGTAGTTCATTTGAATGCTAGAAAAATGAGGGAGCGAGAGTCAAGGAGAGAGAGCGAGAGAGAGAGGGAGAGAGAGAGAGAGAGAAAGAGAACGTGAGAGAGAGCGAGAGAGAGCGACGGGAACCGCCATAAACCCCAGGAACAATACCCCAAAATCCCTGCCACCAGCCTTGGTGCCAGCATCCGAAAATGGGCATAGAAACGGCCTCGTCCCGGGCGGCGTTCGGATTGTTTTGTATTAGAGCCGTGTATGGACACCTGGCAGCCGGCCGTTCCCCCTTTCCCCCTCTCTCTCTTCGATGCTATATGGGCAGATAATTGGCGTGCTTGGTTCCGGCGTGCTACTATTGGCGGTGAGGGGCAGGAGGAGACCTTGGAACGGCCATAGCCTTCAATATTCCGCTCTTCGGCTCGACAATAAACCATCGACAACAGGTGGCCTCGGTGGACAGCACTGCTTTCAAGAGCTGCGCTTTGGATTCCTTATTTTCTCATTTGCGAGATTTCTCAATTTTTGAAATTTTTAAAGGAATCAGGAAGGCTAAGCTATGGATTCCGGGCTATTAATTCTCTAGGAACTTTCCTTCGACCGAAAAACGCTAACGCGCAACTCCCTATCTCTTCCAATCCCGCTCTCTCTCTATCTCTCTCTGCCACGGAGCGGTCGGGCTGATAGGTGTCAAATCCATACTCCTTGCCTTGCCTGTCCCTTTAGCTGGGAAAATGAGAGAGAGCGAAAGGGCGAGAGAAAGTGAGAGACAGAGATAGTGAAAGAGAGCGAGAGAGAGTGCGAGAGGGTGAGAGAAAGAAAGATCGAGATTCCTCCAAACAACTCCAAAGCTCCGTTCGACCAAGCCAAGCCATATTTTGTCTCCACCCTCCGCCCACCCCCGGCTACGTGTCACCCCCCAACAAACGCCAAACCATCGCAAAACACATCGGGCGCCCCGCGGACGCTTGGAACGTAATTTTGTCGCTAGCCGGAACTTTTAGGGTCTTTTGGCGAGCTGTAATTTTGGGGTTTAACTGATTACGCGAGGAAATTACCACTAGTTTGCGCTATCCGATTACGTCATGCAATTTTTGGCAATATGTCGGTTTTTAGGTCTTCGAAGTTGAATTGAATAAACCTTAAGAGATATTTTAAACATATAGATGCATATTCAAGTACCGTGCACTCCTCCTTACGACTCCATTTTTTCCAATAATAGCCACCAGCGAGCCCTAATTTCCGGTTTGGCATTGTGTCCTACATCCACGTCTCTCTCTCTCTCTCTCTCTCTCTCTCTCTCTCTCAGCTATCTATGGCTGACTGACGGTTTTTGTGTAAACAACTGGGCAAATACCGGCGGCCCATCATCCCCCCGCCGATCATCATCATCAACTCCCAGTTTGCCCAGCTTATTCAAATTCACCGCTCCACACACGAAAAATTCGCCCCCCTTTTTGCCGGCTCAGCCCGCGTGTGAATCACTGCCATTGGAAACAGGGAAAAACGGGATTTTTGGTGTGCATCGTTTTTCGGAAGTTTCGGAATTTGATGTTGATTATTATGAAGATTTTAATTTGGATAAAAAGATAATTAAAGTTAGTGAAAGCAAGTGCCTAGTTTTGATGCTTTTGGCATATTCGAATTAACAGGGTTCGATTTTTCTAAAGGATTTCGTTAAATTCATTAAATATGCAACTTTAAAGGACCATTGAAGGTACTTTGGTTTCAAAATTTGTTTAAGCTAGAGAAATTTTCAATGCAGCCAATTCCAGCCCAAAAATTCTTCAACGCTTTTTAATACGGCCAGGCGTTCGCCCCGACCGAGTTTTTGCCAGAATCCGAACTGAAAAATAAAAACTTCCACCCTTCCCAACCAGACAGCCCAGTCATAGCAATGGCCCTAAAAATATATGGACCGGCCCGGAAAATGAAAAACATTCCAAATAGTCCAAACAATCGCACCCCCCATATTTGGGTCCTGAAAATTTCCATCCCCGGGATATTATTCCGATTCGAATCCCCAATTCTGGTATGGCCGTGTCGCACTGTGTGTATATTGTTATTGGGGTTTCGATTTTTTCGTGGGGCTCTGCCCCCGAAAAATCGGCTTTTATGGGACGCGGCAGCAGCAGTCACCGACCCCGGCCAACCCGATAAATTGCAAATCCCGCGCAAGCGCGTGGTCTCGGCACGATTTTGTTGGGGATTACTGTGGGCCTAGGCCGCTCTTGCTTAAATTAGCTTTTTTGATTTTTGCTTCTAATAGTGATTTTGATTTTGGGCGCATTATGCAAATTAGGCTATCACTTCAAGGCAGCCTTCTTCTACCTTTTCTGCATTTTCGAAATCTAAAATTTTCCTTTTTGGGCATTCACGATGTTTTACATTTGATTTTGGGCACTTTTCGAAAATTCCGAGTTCCGACTTCCTAATCAGAATTAAAAATCGGACTCCACTTCCGGTTAGAGCATCAAAGGGAAGAAACAATATAGAACTTTTATCCAAAAATTCCTGGAAAATTCGCTCCTTCGCTCTCGCTCTCTCCCTCCCACTTTCTCTCTCTCTCACTCTCTCTCTCTCTCTCTCTCTCTCTCTCTCCTTAACCCAGATTCCATAAATTCCGATGCGCAACTCTTACTTCGATTTTTTACACCTTCCCCCCGTAGCGATGCCAGCTGGACTCTTCCCCCTCGCCGTCCACTTTTTAGGGTGTTTCCCCCGGGGTTTTTGTGACGATTCTGTCGGGTTACCACCCATCGACAGTCCCTTTCCTGCTTGTATAGAATGGCTCTCTGAATGAAACATCGCCCACATATCCTTTCCATATATATCGCATTCGCTTTTCATATCCTGATCCCCTCCCCCCTATTCAGGCTCACGCTCATGCTCACCTGTCACCTGCCACCGGGCATTAGACCATTTTTTCGGGGTGATCTCCTGATTGTGACGTTTTGGATGGAATTTTTGGCGGTTATGGGAATTTTATGGAAATTTTGGAATTTTCTATTTTGATTAAGCTTAGGTGATCCCAAATCTGCCAAAAGCCAGCTAGTTAACCCTCCTCCGCAGAGACAAGAGAAAGCGAGAGAGAGCGATAGAGAGAGAGAAGCGTGAGGGTACGAGTGAGCGATAGAAAGAGAGAGTGAGAGAGAGAGAGAGAGAGCGAGAGAGAGAGAGAGAGAGAGAGAGAGAGAGAGAGGAGAGCGAGAAAGCGAATCCCGTTGTACGATAATTCCACAGGACGCAAAAAAAGCTTTTTTTTGTTAAAGTTTTTCAAAACAATCAATTTTTTGGGCTTTATATGATTTTCAACTAGAGAATTTGAGCTTCCAGTAAATATAACTCTTTAGTACCTTGCTTCCAAATTACAGCTTGAATTGGCAATTACGACCTGCCGTTCAGGCTTTTTCGGCTAATTTATTCCGTTTCCGTATCTCTCTCTCTATCCCTCTCTCTCTCTCTCTCTTTCCTCTCTCTCTCTGCCTCCTTGAACTTTCGAACCTCCCAAAAAACAGTAGCTATTTACCATACAGCTTCCCGATCCCATTAAAGTTTGCCAACGGGTTTTCCGGTCCCCCTTGGAACCCCCCTCAACCAGCCCCCCGGTCAAATATTGGCAAAACTGAGACTGTTCCTCCAAAAGGAGTGCTTTTTCTTTTAGGATGTGTTTTAGGGAACAGGGGACAACGGTTTCATGCTTTTTGCGGGAAGGAGAAGGAGCCAAAGAGAGGCAAATGCAAATCGGGATGGCCGGCCCGATTCGGCCGGTTTTCCCCCCTACGGGCTCAAACCGCCCATCCATCCATCCATCCGCCTCTGCGCGCGTCTTTTTCTAGAAGCTTTTCCCAACCACCGCCCTGTGTTGCTCTTTTCTTTTTCTCCCCGTATGCACTGGGGCATATTTATCGATGCTGATTGGCAATTGGTGATACCAGGAATTTTTCGCATTTTTTAGGTGTTTTCGAGCTGGAAATTAGCATCTTCTTGCTTTTTTACTGGTCCTTTAATGGGTTAAGATTTTTTAATAGTTTTGGCACAATTTTTTGGTGTTTTTGAAGCGAGAATTTGAATATTATTGGCTTCACTGGTTTTTTAAAAGGCCTAAACTTCTGGATTAATTTCAGTTAAGTTATTTAGTGCCTTTTTTAATTTATCAGAATTACGGAAATTAACCCATTCACAAAAAAGTTGGCAAAAATGCTCTAAATGCGAATTTTTCCTTTTTTGCACCTTTTGCCATGTAAATATTTTGATTTAGGGCTATTGAATTAAGCCACAGTTATTTTTATTTTAATGGGCTGGGTCTTATGCCAATTTAACGCTAAAAAAAATCCATATTTTTAATTTTAAAATTTTCGCCGCAATTTTTCTAATCTCACTGCTATTTTCTCTTCCGTCTTTTCGATCCTCCATTTCTGGACCCATTGAAGTCTTTCCAGTGACCATTGGTCCAAAATGAACACCGACCTGCTCGCCGACGCCGAGGTGCGAGCCCTGATGGTCAAAGGGCACCTCGGCTACCGTACCCCCAACAGTCAGAAGCCGTCCAGCTGGGCGATACAGCCGCGATGTTCGTTGGCCCCGATCAGAGAGCCCTCGATCCCAAGCCCAGACTACAGTCCTGTCAGAGACATTGACAGTGAAGCTGCTGAACTCCCGAGGGCCAGGAGCCTGCACTGCCTCCAGGCTTCAACAAGTCAAGTGTTCCACTCCGAGCCGAGACCTCGGCTTAGAAGAAGCCCCACAAAGCTTCAACGATTCCCTGGGCAAAGTTTGAGCTACAGTACCGAAGACTTCTTTCCAAAAACGGCCGAAACGGATGAGAAAAAGAGAAGAACCCAAACCCTACCCTCCAAAGAAGAACAATTCAAGATCATGGCAGCCGAAAAGCTAGTCGTAGCCCTGGAGAATATGGAAAGAGCAAAGAAACGGAATTCGATTGAGGGTACTGTAGTGCACCCACACCGCAGGGGATCACGATCGGCCCTCGATTTCCTGGGCGCGTTTTTTGTCGGAAGTAAAAGAGGGGTGGAAGCGGAGAAGCCGAAGACTATCGTCAGCCAACCGACGCTGATTTCGACGACTGTCGCGCCGGATGTGGCACTCCGGGAATTACCCCGGGCTGGAAGAGTGGTACGGTGGATGATGGGGCGCGGGATAGAACCGTCTAATTTTTCGGGTTTTCCAATTTTTGAGAAAAATTGAATTCAAAGTCATCCAAAAACCTTTAAAAAAATTTCAATTTAAAAAGCTGAAAACGCTTTTAAAATTCGCTTGAAATTGCAAGATTACGGCATCAGGTTCGGTCTTAAAATCTAAAAAAACATTTTTATGGATGGTCGGCTCTTTGATAAAAATAACTAAAAATTAGGGAATTTCGTCGAAGAATTACCTCAGGAATTTTGATGTTAATTTCCCTTTTTCAGTCGACAAACTCCGAGCGGAAACGCGACAACGCTTCCACTCGGGATGCCATGCGTGAGGTAGGTTGCCATTTTTTTGCGGTTTCTTTTGCGTCCTGGCAGCTAGCCAAATCTATTTTTGCCCATAAAATATACGAGAATCGACCCTTCCCGTTGACAATTACGCAATACTCCAAATGACGCCCTCAGCCGAATTTTTATTTTATTGATTAAATGTCAATTTAGCGAAAGCTTATCTGCAAAGACCTAGGCTTCGATCGGGGTCGGATTTACGCATTCCAGCCCATTTTAGCAGCTTTGAAGCTGGCATCCGTTAAAATACGATACCTCTAGCTACCTTTCCAACCCGGAACGGTCGAGCGCGAAAAACCACCTAAACTCAGCCGACCGGCCAGAGCCACTTGAAAACCGTTGTACGGGCATTGGGGCGTTGTATAGAAGAAATTGACCCGATTCCCGCCCGGGGAGGCTCTCGATTCGATTCACAATGCGCAAAATAAGAGCCGCGTGAAGGGCCGATGGATTGGATGCAATTAGGGGTGACCTCGGCCCGGATTTTTCAACCTGGAGGACCTAACACTTTTCAGAAACCCGTAAACCTGTCAAAATCGAAGGTTCTGCCCGCGAAAATCTAGAGAAAACGTTCTGAAAATCGCGACTTAAAAGGCGATTTAAAAAGCAGCAGAATGCAATAATAACCCCTCGAACTTTACGCATTAATGGTAGCAGGCCCCGAGTATCCAAAAACCGATCCTAACCATGAATAATCTCCATTTTTTCAGCTCCTCTCCCGCTCCGGCCCCTACCCTCAAGTCGTGCAGCCCTCTGCCGGCTTCTGGGTGGACGGTGTCTCCTCCTCAAATGTGGTCATCGACGACGAGATGGCACAGCACGGACATGTTAATAGCTGTGCGAGGTTCAAGCTCGAGATGGACGACACTGGAAACTGCTACAGGAGACATTTCTTTGGCAGGGTAAGTGGTGACCTCACTCTCGTTCTTCTCTCTCTCTCTCTTTCTCTCTCTCTCTCTCTCTCTCTCTCTCTCTCTCTCGCTCTTTTTTCTCTTTCTCCCCCTTATTTATATCTGGTTTTCAGGAGCACCACGACTTCTACGCTCACGACGCTGCCCTGGGTCCGTTGGTACTATCGGTACGGACGGAGACGATCTCGTCACAGGACCACTTCCGTATCATGCTCCGTACGAACCAGGGGACGATTCACGAGATTGTTCCTGCTTCCGGTGAGTCTGGGGATTGAGAGGGAGAGAGAGAGACATAGACAGAGAGACAGAGAGAGGCAGAAAGAGAGAGGGCGGAAGAAAGAGAGGAAAAGAGAGAGAACGAGAGAGAGGCAGCGATATTGACACTTCACCGTCCCTTTAAAGACCCAATAAAGCCAAATTTTACTACCGTAACAAAATATTTCCGCTTTTTCCAGCACTGGCCGACCGTCCATCAGCTTCTCGTATGGCTCGCCTTCTCTGCGACGAGGTGACGACCGACAAGTTCTGTCCGGTCGCTTTCCCCGGAGGGTCAGAAATGATTGTACAGTAAGTTTTGGGTATCGAGCAGAGTTTCTCGAGGAATTTGCTACAAGTTTTAAGGCCGTATTCTTACCTATTTTTTCAGATACGACGAGCACGTCATCACCAACACGTACAAGTTCGGCGTCATCTACCAGAAGAAGGGGCAGACGACCGAGGAGGAGCTCTTTGGGAACGCGACTTCTTCGCCGGCTTTTGAAGAGTTTTTGAGTGTCCTTGGGGATACGGTGACGCTGCAGGGTTTCCAGGTGGGACCAAGCCACGCTTTGAAAGTTTTAATTTAGGGCTATCGTGGCGGGCTGGATACACAGCACGGCCAAACCGGTCGGGAAGCTGTTTACACGGATTTCCGAGGGCGAGAATGTCTTTTCCACGTCTCTACCATGTTGCCATATACCCATGGAGATAAACAACAACTTCAGGTTGGTCAAAAAAATCCCATGGACTTTGATTGGACTTTGACGATCAAATCGCATATTTTTAAGGGACGGTGCCACCTAGAAAAACCAAAAAAATAGCTCTTCTCACTTCCCATTTTTTCAGAGGAAACGCCACATCGGAAATGACATCGTGGCCATCGTATTCCAAGAGGAAAATACCCCATTTGCACCTGATATGATCGCCTCCAACTTCTTGCACGCCTACATCGTCGTGCAGCCGATCGAGGCCGGCACCGACAAAGTTCGATACAGGGTATGTTACGGTACTTTATCAGGTACACAACTGATACGTTAAACTAAGTTTCGCTACTCGAACTTGACGTACATTTTACTAGGTAGCGCTTCATTAAGCAACGCTACGCTCCAATAGGCGAAATTGGCCTTTCTTACCTTACTATACGCCGCTTTGATCACTTCATTAGTTAAAAACTCATCGATAAAACATTTTTGTAGGTCGCGGTCGCAGCCCGTGATGATGTCCCGTTCTTCGGTCCGACTCTCCCTGCCCCTCCCGTCTTCCGTAGAGGCCAGGACTTCCGCAACTTCCTCCTGACGAAGCTTGTCAATGCTGAGAACGCAGCGTACAAGAGCCAAAAGTTTGCACACTTGGCGGTAAGTTGAAGAATGATAGAGAGAGAGAGAAAGCGAGAGAGAGTGAGAGAGGAGGACATAAAGTCAGAGAGAGCGAAAGGGAGAGAGAGAGAGCTATCGAGAAAAAGAGGAAGCAAAGCTAATAAATATTTTTAGGAGCGAACACGGACAAGCCTGCTAGCCGATCTTTTCGATGGGCTAAAGGCCAAGGGCGAATTCTATGGACTTCCGCTTCTGGAGACTGTCGAGCCACCGGTGGCTAATACTGGGTTATTGCACTCGGTCAAGAAGGCGTTGAGCGGACGGTAAGTTTTTTAGGTATTTTCGCTTGGTCTCTCTCTCGCTCTCTCTCTCTCGCCCTCTCTCTCTCTAACCCTTCTTTTCCAGCTCTCGCTCCATTTCTCAAGACGTTCACAACAACACCCCTACCCGGGCCACCTCCATGTCGATGCCCATCCGGCAGTACACCGCCCCACAGAAGCGAAGTGCCCTCTCCGAGACGCTCTCAAAATCGAGCTCATCCTCAAGAGACGAGCCTGCCCATAATCACCACGACGACAAGGAGTACGTTTGTATTCATACGTTATTTACGCTAGCCCTCTGGTGGACGCCGTATATCTATAGTCAGAAATCCATAGAAGTTCCTTGCCAGTGCCCTTAAGAGGCTGAGAACATCGATTTTGAGTCTCAACAGTCGTTTTCAGGTCTCGCGATTCTCTATTCGACGAGGGGGAATCCGTTTCTCCATCAGCAGTGTCATCAAATATTCGAGGGGCCGTTCAGAAGAAGATCATCAACAGGCAAATGTCGATGAAGTCTGGACCCAGAATATCGAACGGGTTAGTTGGTGGCACTCTCTCACACTCACTCACCCTCTCTTTCTCTCTCTCTCTCTCTCTCTCTCTCTCTCTCTCTCTCCCGCTCTCACGGTTTATCTCTTCCATTTCAGCCGTACCGAATGGGAATTGTCATCCAACGAAGGTGCTGAACAAGAGCACGACTCGGACACGGGCATGGTAGGTTAAAAGTTGTCTAATTGAAGGTGATCCTTGCTCAAGTAATTAGCTAAATAGCATAACCATCTCTTTCCAGGAGTCCCTCTCCTCGGCCGACCATTCGAGCGCCAGGGTCTCATGCAATTTCTGCACCGACGAGACGGTGGAGCACAAGCATGAGGGGAAGAGAGGGGCCCAGAGGTGAGTGTTCAGATACGGTAGCTGCGGCAGGCAGTAGAAAAATTATAAGTCTGGCGCATTCTCTATTTTGTTTTAAGGAACTGCCTGAACTGATTTTTTGCAAGGATTACGGTAGCTGGCTCCGCTACAGACATGTACATTTGTTCAATCTCACGGAAATTCACTTCAAATCCCAATTTTTCAGACACGATCTCGAGTCCGAGCTGGACAAGGCCAACGAGGAGATCGCCCGGCTTCGACGCCTCCTCAGCACCTCCGACTCACCCTCAATCCACCAGGGCCCCAATCGAACCCCCGCCGAGCAGATCACTATCGTATCCCAGTGAAAAAAAGAAAATGAGTTAATTCTATCAATTTTCCACCGCCCCTCTTGCCCAGTTCAAAACCAACCAACCATGTGCAATCGCTGTATTTTAAAACGCACCCTCCCTACCGTATCCCAGATTTATTCATGTAAGCTGATTTACCAAAAATTCACAAAGTGCCTGCCCCTGCTACGCCTCAGAAAACGAGCACAAAACATCTTGTTTCGTTGATACCTCCGACAGTGTACTATGTTTTTCTCTCTCTCTCTCTCTCTCTCTCTCTCTCTCTCTCTCTCGCTCTCTCTCACTTTCTCTCTCTCTTTTTCTCTCTCTTTCTCGCTTGATTTACTACAGTATTCCCATCCCCCGTATTTATTCGTACTTTCCTTCAGCGTTTTTTCTTTCAGTTTCGCGTATCCTATTTTTCATCCCCCTCCCAATTCATTTCGGTGCATATCCTGGTCTGAAAGTTCGCCCCCGATTTATGAGATGAATTTTGTGTATTACAAGAAATAAACGATTACCATATGTATGAGGCGCTACGACCCCAACAATAAACGGCAGTGACTTTTCTTCTAGCAGTCTGTTGCATATTGCCAAAACGCCTGCAGGGAGAAGATGTGTGTTGGTGGCTAATGGTAGGGATTCAAAAAGAGTTGACAATAAAGGAAAATTAACGTAAAAACATAAAAACTTGCAAAAAGCCTACGACACTCGGGATTCCCAAGCCGTCTCCGATCCAAGTACTAACCGAGCCCAACGTTGCTTAACTTGGCAGATCGGACGGGATGCCGTGCTTTCAACGTGGTATGGTCGTAGGCGAGGGGAGGGAAGGTAGAGCCGTTGATGAGGGCAACTCGTAGCCGGTGGTCTCGGTGTTTTAAAGCATCTCTCCTCGAGTCTGCCTTCGCCTACGACCATACCACGTTGAAAGCACGGCATCCCGTCCGATCTGCCAAGTTAAGCAACGTTGGGCTCGGTTAGTGATTGGATCGGAGACGGCTTGGGAATCCCGGGTGTCGTAGGCTTTTTGCATTATTTTACAAACCGCAGAAAATAGCCAAAGTTCTATAAAATCATTTGGCTTGTGGCCTGTCCCCCGATTTTTAGAATTGACAAGATCTTATCCCCTTTTTCGGCTCCTCGAGATATTCTTGGGCTGAAAAAGGAGCCGCCGCCTGGAGGCTCGCTCGCCAAAAGTCAACGATCCAAATCGAATGTGGATGCCCTCCCCATCTGAAATCTCGTGCGCCACCCCCTTGTAAATGTGCCGAGACCATCAGCGATTGCTTTTCGGCTTTGATAGGTGCCGCCTTTTGGTTTTGGGAATGCCGAAAAATACGGAAAATAGAGATACTTTGAAAATTTTTCCGAATTCGACAAGTAGATAAGAGTAGTATGGAAAGCAAAATGTACGGTTTCTACCGTAAGCTACAGTATCCTTTTTTGTGTCGTATTATTCTCGAAATCCCGAAAAATAACGAAAATGGTTATTTTTAAGACAGGTATTGAAGGGGATTCCCTAATAAGTCGTAATTTGTAAGTAGCTACCGTAGGTTTAAAAAAATTTTTTGACACTGAACCGACCGAGCTATTATTAATTCTGTATAATCTTTTTGCGTAATTTTATAGCTATTGTAAGCCACAGTACCTCATATTTACCACCTCCCGCACCCACCGATGCAGACGCCGATAAACGTCTCACCACACACATTGCGCGGTCAATTTGTTGCCAATTGGGGGCACGTTTTAGGGTGGTGCTCTGTTGGTGGTGCTCGCTGTGTGTGTGCGTGAATACGATCGTTGCGCAACCGGAATAATATTGTTTTGGGCAATTAGGAGAGAGAGAGAGAGAGAGAGCGAGAGAGCGCGCGAGAGAGCCCATCATTTCACACCGCACCTGGTGCCTACGTCGCTTCCTAATTGGCCGTTCCGTTTTCAGCAATAACCGGGCAATCTGATTAGCTTCACGCCGGGTTCAGGTGTCTTGTAATAAGTAAAATGATTTTTTTATATAAATATGAATGAATGAGTTTCGGCACATTAATTTAAAGACATTTGGAGGTATCGATTACGGCGAAAAAAGCTTACCGGCGAACTTTTTTGGCAGCGAAAACTAACTTTTGTTTTTCCACCTATACATAACTGTTAATTTTAAATAGTATTTTTTGTAACATTTTTAGCACTTTCTAATTGCAAGAAAGCTACAAAAAATATTTGAAACATTTTTAAAATGCGAAAATTTGCAGATTTTTTGATTCTTATTTATATCTTTTTGACCAAAGATCAATTTTCGGAAAAAATAAATCCATGGTCTTCAGCCTTTACCGGCCCTTTAATCTATGACTGCCTCCATTAAACCCATAGAATCATCTCCACCTTGTCGGGATCCCAAAAGAGTCATGAACCCGGTAGTTGATAGCCGACTAACCAGATTATGCATTAGCCTGTCGATCCCCGTACAAAGGAGTCCCCCGTAATCACTTATGCAAGCGAGGCCAAGGTTACAGAACCCCCTAAGAAACCCCGATGGTAGTGGCTGTTGACAGGACGGCGGCGGAACATGAAAAGGGCTGTCTCCCACCATGCCCCAAGGGCTGTCAAATAGAGAGAGAGAGAGAGAGAGAGAGAGAGAGAGAGAGGGGGGGAGAGAGAGAGAAGGAGAGATCTCCTTGTTAGCATAAACATCGGCTGGATATAGCCACTGGTTGGCAAACAAATACATCCCCCACTTCCTTGACCCTCCTATTGACACGCCGGGCGATTGACCCCGGATTGACTTTGGGCAGATAAGAGCGCTGCCGCCAACGGTTTGGTAGAGCTCATCTTGTGTAAATCGGGGTGACCCAAGGCATGAAAAAGGCATTAGAGTATATTAATCAGGATGAAAACAACTTTTTAAAGAATTCGCAATTCCTTCTGCCAACTAGGTACCGAAAGCTACGCGATACTCCCAAGGCATCCGAGTTGCAAATTGGGAAGAACCTTTAAGACTTTAAAAAAAGCTTTTAAAAAATAATTTTGAACTGAGTTTGCCGGAAAATCTGGAAAAAACACTAAAAAAAGCTTGGAACTATTAATGAAGCGCTTAAAATGCAAAACTTGAACAAAACAAAAGCCTACGACACTCGGGATTCCCAAGCCGTCTCCGATCCAAGTACTAACCGAGCCCAACGTTGCTTAACTTGGCAGATCGGACGGGATGCCGTGCTTTCAACGTGGTATGGTCGTAGGCGGAAGGAGGTCTCGAGGAGGATGTTTTGAAACACCGAGGGGCCTGATGCGAGTTCCCCTCAAAATTCATAGACACTCCATTCCTGATCTCTTTCGCCTACGACCATACCACGTTGAAAGCACGGCATCCCGTCCGATCTGCCAAGTTAAGCAACGTTGGGCTCGGTTAGTACTTGGATCGGAGACGGCTTGGGAATCCCGGGTGTCGTAGGCTTTTTGCCGTTTTTATGTTTATACATTCCTTTATTGTCAAAACTTGTTTTTGAATCCCTTCCATCAGCCACTTTTTCACCCCCTCGGGGCGATTATAGGTTTTTGAGTGGCGTGGATTGCGTGTGTCTGCCATCTACCCCGATCTCCCCCGATCGGCCCATCTCATTCGGTGGGCTTCCCGCAGCGATTTTTTGCTCCCCGGAGGCACTGTTGGCGCAACACGGATTATCCGGAAGGCGGCAAGTCGCCAAGCGGAGCGCTTCAAAGTGTTCCGGTTAATAGCGACTTTTGGCAATTTTTGAGATTTTACGATAGCTAGGCTGCGAGAGAGAGAGAGCGAGCGAGAGAGCGCGAGAGAGCGCGAGAGAGCGCGATAGAGAGTGCGAGTAAGGATAAAACAAGCGAAAAAGGAGAGTTTTATACAACATTCCTCCTTTGTCTTATCACCAAGTCACACCGGATCTGACAACAAGTTGCTTTTTGATACGATCTGATCTCTATCTGACGATCTCTAGATCTACAAAGGCACTTCCGGTCCCTGAGGTCAATATTTACAACCTCTATCGGGCTGTAAAATACCAACAACATTCCTTTAAACAACTCGCCAGCCAAGAATATATTGAAAAACGATCTATAGCGATTTTCAGTAAGCTACCATCCGATACTTTATTTTTCCTCCCCTCCTGTCTGTCATTGCCAACCAAATTTGGCCGGTCCCGGAAGGCAACCTGGCAGCAGAACCATCTGCCCCTGGCCATCCACTCCTTCTTTGCCCCTGGCCGGGCCAGGATTTGGGCGGGCAAATCCTATAAAATGGACCGGTGATTGAGGAGGATCTCTTTCTATGACTGTCTTGCTCCCTCTCTCTTCGTTTTCTCACTCTCTCTCACTCTCTCCCTCTCTCTCCCTCTCTTCCTTCTATTTATACGCAGCGGTGAGCTGATGGTCTGAAAACCAACATTCTAGTTTGTAAATTGGAAAGCGGAGGTTTAATAGGGAATAGGGGGTTACACTTGCAAGGGAAAATGTTAATTTCTAGATTTTATTATTATTATTGTTGTTGTTAGTGAACTACGCGAAGCCTAAGCCTAAGCCTAAACCCAAGCCTGCGCCTGGCCACGAGAAATTGAATCCCCGCAATGAACGAAAGTGTATGATTCCGGCAAACTCAGGCTTTTCGCGACCTAATAGACGGAAGAGCTCGATTTTAACACTGGCAGGGTCCTCAAAAAGCGTGGAAACGTTACCGTAACTCGATAATGGCGCTCCCTAACCACTCTACTCCAAGATCACCAAGCGCCAGATGGGACCGTTCTCTCCCCACAAAACGTGCTAACAGCTCCGAACTTTACATGTATTGGCTGAGTAGTGTGCCGTTCGACACTTGGCGCATTTTATGACACGTGCTTGTGTGGGGAATTGAGGGAGGAGGTGGCACACCATTCGCCCCATTCGAATTTGCATCTGAACGGGAGATATTCGGGGGGATGGTGGCTACTTGGCACTTGACTCTCGCTATCTTTCTCAGTCTGCCTATCTCTCTCTGTCTGCTCTGTCTCTCTCTGTCTCTCTCTTTTTTTCTTTCTATCGCTCTGTGGCAGCGTTAATTTTATGGCCGTTCCATGAATTGGCAACAAGTTTGACGACGTTGAAGGGCGCTGGAAGCTGAAGAAGAGTTCGAACTTTGCTTGATTTCACTATCTCACTATTTCTGTCTCCCTCTCCCTCTCTCTCTCTCTCTCTCTCTCTCTCTCTCTCTCTCTCTCTTTCTCTCTCTCTATCGCTTTCCCTCTTCCTGAGAAGGTACGAAAAACTCGAAAAACAGCTCAAAAACAACTTGAAAATATTCCCAAAATGGAGACCAAGCTTCACGCCAAGCCAAGCTTAAGGCAAGTCAAAGGCAAGCCTAAGCCGAGCCTAAGCCAAACCAAAAACCCGATGATTCACCCCCATTTCCTCCTCAAAAATTTCGCCACCCTGAAATTACCGTAACCCCCCTCCCCTGAGCAAGAGGATTACGGTGCCCTCCCCTCAAAGGCGTACCATTTCGCAATTTGGACCATTTCGGAATGGCCGCAGAAAAGAAACCCTGATTATCCTCTCCCTCCCCCCTTGAACCCTCCGCCTTTCCGGGAATCGACCTCGAAACTTTGCCCCATCTCTACCCCTCCAATTTCCACAGACACCGCCTGCTAAACTACGGTAATCGCACTTCACTAGCGTGCCGCGCGGAGTTGTCTCTTGGAAAGTGCCCATAAAGTTGTCCGGGGGGTTTAGTTAGCATTTCCGCTCCTTGACGGGAGGAGAAGAGAGAGCCTGAGAAGGCCTGTAATTAGGACTGCCGGGGAGGGCTTGTGGAATCTTGGCGGCTACGGTAAAGCGGTGACCGTGAAGAGGAAAGAAACCGAAACTGGCAAGCTTGATGCTACAGCTTACACATCTACCTAGAGGAAGAGAAAGATCTACTGAGTCTAAAGCCGAAGCTTAAGCCTAACCTAAGCCTAAGCCTAAACCATATAAAATTTTGGAAATGACTGATAAGCCGAAAATTCGGCGTACTTGGCCAGTAATGGGTCGAGGCACGTGTCAGCCAAGATTGACACCTCCGCCTGCCCACCCCTGCCTCTTGGCACCCCCCTACCAACCCCCTCCCCATGCAGCGATGTCCGAGTGGTTAAGGAGATTGACTAGAAATCAATTGGGCTCTGCCCGCGTAGGTTCGAATCCTGCTCGCTGCGAACTTTTTGCTTTTTGGGGGTCGAGCCGGATGTTAGATGTTTTAGATCTTAATAACGTTTGTTTTCCAGTTATCGCGGTGTTCAGGATTATTCGGTGGTTTTTAGGTTGTGATACGTCAGTTTTAGACTTCGTTCAGCAGATGCTAGGCGAATTAAATGAGCAACAGCTCCGAAAAGGCTGGCAGATGTCTCAATTTCGTATAGCTTCAAAACCCACCGCCCGAAGCCTATAAAGTTGTCTTTCAGAGGAGGTTTCGGACTTTCTCTCCCTCCCCTTCTCTCCAAATCGTTACCGTGTTTCTGTTCGATACCAATCTACCGCCTGTCCATTAGAGGACCAATTAAGTGAGGAGTTGGATGGAGTGCCGCCCCTCATCCACCCGATTTATGTCTCCCTTTCGGTCTCCACAAGTGGGTAGATGCTATCTGTAATGACCCGAGAAAGTTACTAGCCAACCGAGTGTTGTGTGTTGGCGGCTGGCCAAAAGTGGTGATTGGATAATTGGAAGGGAAAAGGAGAGAGAGCGAGAGAGAGAGCGAGCGAGAGAGAGCGAGAGAGTGACTTGTTAGAAGGCCGCCAATTCTGGTGTATAGTTTTCAAGCGCTTGAGAGCAATATCCGAGCTTTCAGAAGAAAAGACCGGTGAGTAAGAGCGAGAGAGAGAGAGAGAGAGAGAGAGAGAGGAGAGAGAGAGAGAGAGAGAGAGAAAGAGAGAGAGAGACAGAAGGTATTTCTCTGACTTACCTGTAGCAGTTTTAGACTTAGACTTTTGAGATTGTCAGAGAATTATAATCACAAAGCTTATTATACGATCTCTCAAGCCTTTTAAGAATTTTCCGCTTAATTTGCATAATTCTATTTGAAGATTTCCCCGCCACAATCCACCCGAAACGGCCTAACGAACCGCCCAGCCGCAATGACCGGAAATTTTTGACGGATCCGAGGCGACAGTTCTTTCGGCTTAACCCTCAAGGAGGAGGCCCATCCGCTGGGCACGCACATGCAAGGCCGTATGAATTTATAGCCATCCTCATTTATGGATAAGGTTCTCGATTTTCACCCGTTTACCTTGAATTTCGGCGCAAAAAGTTCGATAAAAGTCATCTTTCTCGCCAGCGCTTTCTCGCGCTCTCTCAATCTCTAGCTCCCTCTCTATTTTGTTAGGCACCGACCGAAACCACAGAACTCAGGAGGTTTTACGCTTACGAGCACGAGCTCTAGAAAACTGCGATTTTGAAAAGGGTTTCCACACGCCAACTGAAGCGCTAATTAATTCCCGAAAACCACCTGCCCATAATCTTTGACCGCTTTTCAAATCTCGCAGATCAATTCCGAAATTATCGAGCCTGGTGGTTGGAACCGAAATAGGCAAAAATCGCCAGATTCGGCTGAGAATCTGAGGGTAAAAGGGGAGGCCGAGCGGCGACCACCTGAAATAACCTCTGATTCCCAGGGTGCCGTTTTCACACCTTGCCAATGGCCACTTCCGTGTTAGCATTAATAGCGGCTGGTTTGAATCGGGGGATCGAATGACTTTAGTAGCTTTTTCTCTCTTATTTTAGCTCTCTCGCTATCTTCTCACTCTCTCTCCCGTTCTATCTCGCTCTCTCACTCTCACCCTCTCGGTCTCCCGTTCTCTCTTGCGCTCTCGCTCTCTCTCTCTCTCTCTCTCTCACTCTCTCTCCCTCTCTCACGCTTTCTCGCTCTCTCCCTCGCTCTCTCTGGCTCTCTCTCTCACTTTACCGAACAAAATCCACCCCCATTCATCAGCTTTTTGCAAAAATTTACAGAGGCTGAAGGGGGACATGGATAGATGGGAGGATTGCCACCTGCACATCATTCCGGTACCCATTTACAGGCTGCAGAGAGAGAGAGAGGGAGAGAGAGAACGAGAGAGATGGGCTGAAATTGACCCAGAAAGTGATATGAAATGGGCTCAGGGCCCTCGTTTTGGTATAGCTTCCCGCGGAGTGTGACCTTGGATTTTCAGCTGCCCGATTGGTTAATGGATCACTATGGAAATGACAAGGGGAAATCAGTGTTTTGAGTGGTATTGTCTTTAGGCAAAACTGATAGAACGCTGTGCCCGGTTTTTGTAACATTCTCCATTTTGAAGACAGAGAGAGCGAGAGAGGGAGAGAGAGAAAGAGAGAGAGAGAGAGCGAGAGAGTGGGAGAGAGACAGAGAAAGAGACCAAGGGAGAAAGAGAGAGAAAGTGAGAGAGAGTGGGAGGAGAGAGAGATAAAATCAAGGAGAGAGAAATACGAATACATTTGATCATTCGTTTCAAACCAGCCGCTATTAATGCTAATACGGAAGTGGCCATTGGCAAGGTGTGACAAAGACACCCCGGGAATTAACGGGTATTTCAGGTGGTTGCCGCTCGGCCTCCTTTTCTACGTTTGGATTCCCATCCAAACCTGCCTATTTGACCCGTTTTCTCTATTTCCAATTCCAACCACCGGGCTCGATAATTCCCGCATGCTCCCAGAGATTTGAAAATTTCTCAAAAAAACTATAGGAAAGATGGGGTCTTTAGAAATCACGTGGGATCTCAGGTGGCGCAATGACTACTTGTGAAAGTGCCGATTTTTTTAAGTCGATCGGTATTGGTATAATCCATACTGGGAAAAGAAAATCCCGTAAATCGTCGTTCCGTGCTCATTTTATGGCCCGCTGGATACTAAGGCCTCGAAAAATCAGCAAAAAATTTTTGAAAACTACAGTAACCGGAACATCCAAGATAGTCTCGCAAATCCAAGGTTTTTGTTTGTAATTAAAATAGCTACACCGATGCATTAAAACAACGCTATTACAATTTCTGAGAACAACGGCCGAATTCCAGTCGTAATCCCGACAACCAAAACCAATTGGTGGCTTAGGCTTTCAACAAAAACCTACCGTAACCAGTAGGAACTTTTCCGAATTATGGTTAGCCATCCGATTCTCGACCTTTCAATCTATACCTTTTAATACACTAGACGGTTTTGTACTCAATTTTTCCTCTTAAAACTCTACCGTAACCCCCGAGAATTACACAACCACCTGACCCCCCCCTCTCTCTCTCTCTTGTTTGTTATCAACCACCGACCTTGAGAAACATGCCCAGGGGGTAGCTAGGCGTGTAGAGGGGCGGAGCTTGCATAGTACCCCACCCGCCCCCAACCACTTGGCTAATGCCATCCATGGCCACCAACCGACCAGTCTGCCCAAAACCACTTGTCGCACACCACAACCCTAGCATTTCGCCAAGTTTTACTGATTCCGAAATCCTGCCGCCTAAAATTCGCTACAGTACTCCTTCCACTATGGCCCCGCTAAAGCCCGGCACCAAGCTTCCGCCTCAGAAACAGCGCAGGAATGAGAGAGAGCGCAGACGCGTTAATAAGGTATCGTCTTTCGAGTTAGTACGGGTCTTAAAGGGACTGTAACGACGGCAGTCAATAATATTTTTTGGATCTTAAAATCCCCAATAAAAATTGCGGATCTCCCTCAGTCTACCACACTTTTTAAAGGCGCAGCGAAGTTGTAAATCTATAGGATTTCCGTGCATTTATGACACCTAGAAAATTCTAAAACTATTCGAGCCTAAGCTGGTCTTAAAGGGACGGGATGTCAAAGTTAAAGATCTATAGGACGTGCGAATGTTGGAATACTGTAGAAAATCCTAATGTTTTGGGTTTTATTTGGGTTTAAAGCAACAGGCAAGTGGAGAATCTATAGGACTTCTTTGGATTTGGCAATGCACCAGGAAACCTTGATTTTTTTTGCGTTAAAAACTGTTGTGTAAGGTAGCCTGAGCCTAAGTGTAAGCCCAAAAAACCAAGCCTAAGCCTCATTCTAAGCCTAAGCTAATGCTAAGCTTAATTGTAAACCTAAGCCTAAGCAAAAGCAGAAATAATTTATATCCCTTTTTAGATGAACGAAATGTTCGAAAAACTCCGCACCCGCATCAACCTTGGCGGAAATCGAAAGCTCTCCAAGGTTGACACAGTCAAACAGGCGACATGCTACATTCGATACCTTGAGAATGAGCTGAGAAGGGCAGAACGGGTGGAGCAAGAGGTAGCTGACTCTCCTTGATATCCACTAACCCGTTAATCCATTTCAGATGAGCTCTCCACCACCTCCTCATCCCTCCCAACTGTCCTACCCACCCCTCTGCCACTATCCGGTTTCGCCTGCCGAGGCGGAGAGTACGTTTTTGTTAAGCCGTTTCTGTCTAGAAAATCCGTTCTGCGGGGTTTAAAGGGATTAGGAAGTGTAGAAAAACTCCGAAAATTTAGAATTCAAACATAGTTTTACATATTTCAACAAGTTCGATTTTTGAGGGGTTTTTGCAAATTGCGAAGCATAGAGCAAAAAAGTATAGAAAGGTCCTAGTAATTTTGAGATCGATTACATATTTTTAAGCTTCAAAAACTCCGATTTAGCGAATTTGCGCATTTTTAAAGGAAACAGGAAGCCACAAAAAATCCGAATTTTGAGTTTTTTGAAATTACTATTCGATTTTGGTTTTGTGGATTTTGAAAATCCGATTTTAGCGGCTTTTGAAGGGATCGAGAAGTCTAAAATCGTGATAGAACAAGAGTTTTATCCCACTTTTTCAGATATCCCCTCCAGCTCAATGCCACCGTACCCCACGATTCCCCAAGCGATGAGCCCCTACCAGATGAACGGCGGAAATTATCAGCAGTTCTGGCAGCCACAAACACCCTATGGACTCAAGACAGAGGTGAGTTTTCAACAATTCATAAATACTATAGCTATAGCTAGAAAGACGTCATTAATACTTCGAAAATCTCCAAAAGCTAACCCGATTTTTCAGCCCCATGACAGCAGCCTGTCCCCCGCGAACACGTCCGGCTCGATGGGCAGCAGCAGCCCGTTCAGCCCACAACATCAACAAGCGCATCCGTCATACCCAATCATGCCCCAGCAATATCAATATCCGGTGGATACGCCTACCAAGTGGTAGTCTCAATACTTTTAAGAGCTCTCTAAAAGTAGCTTGTCCCTTTAAAAGTTGAGCATCAACTGTCGCTGGCCCTTTAAAAGCTCAAAAAGTTCATTGGCCCTTGAAAAGGCGCGGAAGCTACCTGTCACTGCCCCTGAACTTGCTTAAATTGAGTGGCCCCTTTAAATTAAATTTTCCAAGCTGTTCTGGCTTTTATTAATGCCTTCTTCCTACCTATTCACCCCTTTCGAGCTAACTTCTAGGGTATCCATCTCCCTTTAAAAGCTCCAGAATTACCGGTACTTTTTTTACTCTTGATTTCCATCCCTTGCAAGCTCTTCTCGTCCTTTAAGGTTTTTTTGGGTGTCACTGTCCCTTTAAAATCCTCATTACAAACGTTTTGCATTTTTTAGGTTTTTTCACAGCATTTTTGCATTCTCCGCTTTTTCCTATTTGTCATTTTTGACTCTGTTTATTGATCTCTGTCCGATACCTTGATACCTCAACTTACAAAATCTCACTTGAAGGGATCCTCAAAAATACCATTATCCTAAGCCCTGCCCTTGCTCCCCTCATCACGATCATCGCTACGGGTCATTCCTATTGCCTTCAATTGCTCTCCCACTCGCATTTTCTTGGTTGTGATACACACATCTGCATGTAGATAAAGTTCTAGTTTCACGAGGGGACTATATAAAAATGCAGGAAAAAAACAAAGATACAGAGAGCGGGAGATAGAGAGAGAGCGAGAGAGAGATAGAGGGAGAGAGAGAGAGACGGAGAGCGAGTGAGAGCGAAGAAGAGAGAAAGCGTGAGAGAGAATGAGTAAGAGAGAGAGAGAGAGAGAGAGAGAGAGAGAGAGAGAGAGAGAGAGAGATAGAGGGAGCGAGACAGAGAGAGAGAGAGATGATGAAGAATAAGTGCGGCTGAGATAAAGCCAAAGCTAGCTTGTCTAACCTTGAAAATATATCAAGAAAATTCGCCCGATGCTCAAAATGCACTAAATCACCTCATCACCACCCATTCCGCTAAAAGGAGCCTTGCGGAATTAGCTGTTCTGAGTACAGTAATGTCCTTCGCCGGATTCCGCTTTGATCTACCATAACCCCTAGCTGTCCCCAAGTGATAATACCCGCATCAACCCTGGAGACAAAGGACATCCTTGGCTTTGCCTGTCCCCCTCATCCCCTCCTTTTGTCCACCCTATAACCCGCCACAACTCCTCCACCCCCTCCCCTCTACGAAAGCCGTCTTTTGTCGTCGGCCGTTCATAGCCCCAGGGCCCATCCAACGGCCACTATTATGCTAATCAAATCCCTTCACCCCCGCGGTGTGCCACCCGCCAAAACAGCGTGGGTTATGGTGGTGAGTGAGGTGGCATAGTGTCCTAAGCCTAAGCATTTTACAGCCCACTAAATGTCGACTTATTCGATTTTTTTAGTTCTTTCTTAGATTCGAATTTTCGAACCAAAACCGGTTACGTCCCAATTTCAAACGCCATCCCCCGTACTACCAGCCACGATCAACTCCAAATTGGAGCACAGGTGTTGCTCAAAGAGGGTGATAAGTGGGCCGGGGCCTTGGCCTGCAATCAGCTGCTGCAAAATCGGGGGAGAAGGACATAGTAAGGAAGTGGAGCACGGGTGCAAAAGGTGTCAAGCACCAGGCAGGTGCAGTGAGAACTAACTATATCTGTCTGTTTCGATGTGTGTCTGTCTGTCCACAAGCGATCATTCCTCCCCAAACCCCAATCAGCTGGCACTCACTTGGTACGCGACACGAAATGGGGCAATCGGAGATGGTGCCATGAGCAGCTGCTGATTTTCCCGCGTAGTGGGAAACTTATAGGCAGCCGTATGTAGGATATGCACACAAAAGTATGATAGGGAAAAGTGAAATTTGCCTGAAGGTGTAGATGATAAAAAGAGGGAGAGAGAAAATAAAGAGGGATAGAGAGACGGAGAGAGAGAGAGAGAGGGAGAGAAATAAAGAGAGAGAGAGAGAGAGAGAGAGAGGGAGAGAAAGAACGAGAGAGAGAGGGAGAGAGAGAAAGATAGAGAATTAGAGAGAGAACGAGCGAGCAATGAGAAGATTATTTCGGTACTGGACTGTTAGCGGGGGGAGGGGTGTTTAGTAATGGAGAAATGCGAACCCGTTGATAATAAATACTGTATTTTTATAATGTGCTTCGTAGTTTTTGCTTGCTAGAAAGTTACAAAAATCTCTAGACATTTTCGAAAATTCGACTATTTTAACTTCTTTCGTCATCTTGCAAACATTTTTAGACAAAATTTCCAAAATTTTCAATATAGAAAATATCTAAAAACTGTGTAAAATTCTAAAAACAGTTTATATTTTGCTATAGCATCGCACAGGATTAATGGGGAAAAATTAGATTTCTCCCTGCTAAAGATCTCCCCTGTTAACAGATTTCCTCCCCTAGTGCTACCTAGCCAATCCAATCATCCGCCTCACCCGATTAGGCGTTGATCGGCAAATAAACCTTCCGGTCGTGAAGAGCTTATAATTCTCGAGCTAATCTCTCTACGATCATCCCTCCAGTAGTATGCCCCCGTTGACCAGTCCGTGCAACACGTTGTTGACCGTCAACAGAATCTCTTCGTAGGGGTTACTGTCCCCTAGGCGGCCCTCCAAATAAGGATGGCGCAACGATTTTTGGGTCCTTCTCGGCCTGGGGACCTCAATTTGTTTGTGCTCCCAATTAAGAGAAACTCTCAATCTCTCTACATCCTCATCTCCAAGTAGCGGGGAAACATGATCTGTTGGGGTCGCTGCCCGGGGATTGGCAGGGTTGCTGGAGTGTTTTGGTAGACATACTAGGGGCCTATCGCCTGTAGATGCACGCACAGAATTTAAAACGCCTTGTTTTAATTAGTAATTAGAATTTTTCGAAATCTGCATATGCTCAAAATCTCTCGGGAAGTCTGTAGAGTATATCTGCAAAAATAAATCGGGAAGTTTGGTTCGTGTTTGGGATTTTGGGAGAGTTCTAAAATCGGAAATTGGCCACATTTCATTGGCTCCAATAGAGTTCGATTTTGATTATTTGAACCCCAATCGATAATTACTCTTCTAGAGCTACGAATTGGCGTCAACCATATCCTATGCAAATTGCTCTACGCATCGACAACTAGAGTGAGGGAGGCCTAGGCTAAAGCCTAGGCTTGCCTAGGCTTCCTCGGGCTTTTTTAATTTGCATCGCCTGGGCTGAGCCTGGGCTATGCAAAGTACGCCTGACCTCTAATTGGTCAGGCTTTATCTGGAAATTTTATGTAAAGTAGTATAATATTCGAATTTTTGCCGAACAAATAAGGATTTTTTTTGACACTTCCAGGGGGTCGAAGAGCTGTATTCGGTCCAAGAATATTCTACAAATTTAGGGTACTGTTTTTGACAAACCTTACGGCACGATACGTTAATAGCACGCGGATACACAAAAGTCAAGAGTCGGTTCGAACGGGCGGGGATGCAATTGGCTCTCCTGACATCCTGCCTATATTTTTCCCACCATCGGCATCCTTGTAAATTGTTTTGCGACAAAAGATACCAACGTTTAAGATGCAGTAACCAGATTAACATGTTTTCACGCATTGCATAAAAAGCCTGCGTAAATCCTTAGGCTTCCGCCGGGCGTCGGCAGGCGCGGAAATGCAATTCGGCCCAAGAAAGCCTGAGGAGGCCTGCCGCTCCCTCACTCTATCGACAACTAGCAACCTAGCTTTTTCGCGATTTTAAGAAAAACTTCTCGGGCTTGTAACGCACCCTCCTTGAACTTGGCGGCCCAAGATTTTCCTCCGGAAACGGAACGTGAAGCGTGAAGCCAGGCTTTCACATGCCCACCAAAATTCCGGCGTCAGAACTTTCTTTAAAGTTTAGTGTTCTTTAATAGTGAGGTTTAAAGGCATTGTGAAGTCGAAGAGGCTGTGCTGGGATTTCGGCTTTGATGAGAAGATTTTTCCGAAACTGCCGACCGGAAAACTGGATGATGTCTTTCCGGAAATCGAATTCTGATCTGGTAAGTCGGGTAACATAGCTAGCTTAAAAATGTGTTTTTAGCCGACTTCTAAGTCAGGTAAATTATTTGATTTATTCTTGCAATTTCGTTTCGGAACCTTCTCATACTTTCAGCGTCCTTTAAAGTTTGAGCGCTTGGAGATGACAGGTTTCAGACAGATCATAAAAATTAAGTTAACAAAATTAATTGTAAATTCGCTGTTGAACGAGTTGTAGCTGCAAGCTACCAATACACCAATCAAGCCCAAATCATCAACTACCAGGCCAATTGACCCGAGTGCACGAGTCTCATAATCCACTGGGGGTGTTCGCGCCTCTTCCCAAACAATAGTGCTAATGAGTACGGATTTTCCGAAACAACACCCCTGGGTGAATGGTGTCTCTATCTATTCAGGAGAACAACTCGTAATTACGATCCGGTCAATAGGATCCAGGCGATGGATCGGATCGACAATTGGCTGATCAATTTCCGGTGGACAAAGGAGCGTTGCGGAATTTTGGCCAGGGACCAGGGACTCCACAATTCTTCAAAATCGTATTTTTTTCACAAGTCCGGTTTAACCCCCGTACTCGTTAAAGGGAACCCTAAGGACAAGAAAACTATTGTACCTCTCAACCAAAAGACACAAATTTGAAGCGGAATATTGCGCCATCGGGGCGGCCACTTGCCATCTTCGAGTTGCGCGAACCCAGGCCAAACGCCACGCACGGCACTCGGCCATCTGGATGCCCACTTTGTCTTCAGATTCTTTCTTTTTTTGAGGGTGAGAGACAATTGGCATGCTCAATTGGGTCTATGGAAGGATTCCTTTGCTTGGGCCGACACTGGGAAATTATTGGTCGGGTTTTTTTTGAATGATTGAAATCTTGTTGAGACCGAGGGAGAGAGAGAGAGAGAGAGAGAGAAAGAGAGAGAGAGAGAGAAAGAAACAGAGAGAGAGCGAGAGCGAGTGAGAGAGTGATAGAACGATAGAGAGTGATAG